CACTTTTTTAAAATTATTTTCAATTTTTGTGTGGTTACAGGGCAGGAGGTTGACGCTCAGACTGCTACCGGTACAACCAAAAAGAGCACTGCCAAACCAACGAGTACCACGCCAAAGAGTGAGTATCGAATTTTAATTTAAAAATGTTATAACCAAGACAAAATTTAAGATAATGAGAAATTTAAAACCAATACAGGGTTTTACGTTGAAAACAGAAATTACAATTTTTTTACCTTCTCACCTCAGTTTGAAAACCAGTTTTAGATTTAATTTTCTCAGCATAATGACTGGATGAATCAGAATATCTACTTTGATATCAAGACAGGACATTTTCATTCAGTTATATATTTATTTATTTTATTTACACTGCAACACAGAAACTAGTGCGTCATCAGACGAACAAAATTAATCTCCATAAAGTTAAAATGGGTCCTTCTTTCATTGTCTATCAAACCAAAAATCCCATTCCTTAAAACTACTGAAATAAACTGAAAAACCAAGGGCATTAATTTATGTCAATACGCTTGGATCATACATAGCTATAAAATTGAAAGCTTAGATCTACCAGTAAGTTAGATACCGGAAGTAAATAAATGTACGCTCAATCCGGAAGTGATTTCGTTATCTTGGTAAAAATGTCATTTAACATGTATTTATTTATTTATCGACTGTCATATTAAATTCTAATGTCACATGTCTAATTGACACATCCATCACACACACACACACACACACACACACACACACACATATATATTTCATCATGTCTTTCATTCGCTGATGTTTTAAATTGTCTTTTTTTTTATTTCAGATGGAGCAGCGTCATTTACCGGATTCCCTAAAAGTAAGTCACGTCATCAATAACAACATACTGCGTTTGTCCTGACAACCGAAATCTCACTAACCCGTCCTACATAAAAGCACACCTGGCAGGTTGAAAATTTCTGTACTTTTAGCATTTAATGGTTCTTTATGATAGGAACACCTACATGTAGCTGGAACTAAAGGTATTTTTATGGGAGGACGTTCTGAAACAAAGGAAGTTTTTATGGGAGGGACAACCTGTAACTAAGGGAGTTCTTCAGGGGGTGAAATACCCAGCTGAAACTAAGAGTGATCTTTAGGAGAGGAACTTCTGAAAAAGGGGTGCTCTTTATTGGAGGAGCACCCTGATTTAAGCGTTCTCTTATGGGAGGAACACATGAACATGAGCTTGTTCTTGTGGGAGGAATACTTGAAACTAAGGGTTGCTTTATGCGAGGAAGAGCTTTAGCTTTAATTGTGCCAACCAATCAGAGGTGATTTTTTTACACAAGGCCACTGTTACGTTCTTGAAATCCAGGATTTAGAGGCTTGAAAAGTACTGCAAAGCACCTTAGATACAGGGCTCCCATATCCTCAGCTAATATTCTACTGAATGACAATAGCAGCCTCTTCCCTGCCCACCCTATGAGTATGAAGACCACTTGAAATTCCCTCCTATGCCGTTTACTGCCAGTACATAAATTCATCATATTAGACTGAAAACTGTACCTAAGTACCTACGCCCTGTAGAACTTTAACCAATGCAGATAACAAATACGCTTTAAATATCTCCCGCACAAAATTAACAATTGTGCCGTTATCTTTTTGTCATTGTCTGGTAACAATTCAGATACCAGTCCTGATTATTTATCAAAATGACGCAGCGTTTGTCTCGATATATATATATGCAACGACAATCGTAGTACCCTGGTGGGCGGTAGGTTAAACGAACTTAAACATATGCGGAATCAATATATTGATTATATTCTATGTAAATCCATAAAAGTCGACTAAGGCCCTATTCTCATAGACATCGGTCTACGTAAATAGAACTCTGCCGGGACTCTCGCTGAGTGCAATTAACTTAATTGAAGGATACGCCTCCTTTTGTTCCCAACATACACGTGTAATCACAATCTTTTCTGCATTCTACCCAATGCCAGGAGGGGGATTGTCTTTAAGCTGATTGCACTCAGCAAGTGTCTCCTTAGGGCGCATTCCCATAGATTTTAGATCGATCTATCCCCGTGGGGAGTCTCACTAGATTGCTGTCAGATAATCCGGCTTAAATGTCCGTCCCGCCTACTACAAGCTGTAAAGGGGTAATTAACTTTCGTGCCCGCTCTGCTGACAACTATTTAGCGTGAACCCCCAGGGAGTTAGGTCGATCTAGTTGAATCGATCTCATCTCTGGGAATGGGGTCTTAGAGCTGGATCGATCTATGTAGACGGATGGTGTATATTGGAATGGGGTCGTAAATAAGACGGTCTAGGTCTTAATCATTAACCTTGTCCTTACTGATAGAAAACAGGTGCAGTATCTAATCTTATTTGACTAGTGCTGATTTATCTAGGGCCCAAGTAAAAAATTTTAATTAGTGTTCGATTATTTTTCATTTTATTTTTTAATTTGTCATACACCATAACTAAAAAATCCGTCCCTCATATTATAACGCAAATTTGGTTGCAAGATCCCATCCAATTGCCACATGTTTTGCAAACAATAAATGATAACCCATGTAACTTATGTCTGTTTGTTACAGGTGTAGTCGTGGCAACGATGGTAAGCCTAGCAGCCTGGAGACGTTTATAAAGATGACAAGGTCAAAATACAGTGCTCCTGACAGTGGCACGGTCCTATGCAATGCGATGTGATTCAGTGAAAAAAAAGCAACTCTCGTGTGAACAAAGTCACGCAAAGAACTACCCCATGATGTGGAGCAGGATTTTAAACTGAGCCAGTATGATTGGGACGTAGAGAACCTTGCAGTTTTTTTTTTTTTTTTTTTTTTGTCAACATCGGCTGTTTCCGTGGGTTATCAATAATACGGAAACAGCTGAAGTGCTTGTAATAAATTTGTACACGAAAATTAGTGAATTGATTATTCTAAAGTGCTCTCGTAAGCAATATCTTTTTTTTTTTGTTCTCTTTATCGCCTTAGCATGTTTGTTTGGGACAATAAACGTAAATATTTATCAAATGTTTGTTACTGATTTTTTTTTTTTTTGATCGATGGGAATTGTTTGACAATAAAATGGAACTTGGAGTGTACACGTATAAATCGATAGCTGGAATTGATCTGTACGTGCTTCAGTATGACAAACAACATCATGGAGATTCGTTTCAGGCCCTAAGTAGAGATTGTATCGTTTTTACAAAACATATGATCAATAGGAAATCTATATGTCCGCGTCGGTTTCTTTATAGACATTATTTTGCCATCCGAAGGCGCGTTTACACTGTCATCGGGTCAAAAACTCTCACTGATCCACACAGACATTAAATCTTTGTCCTCCTGGGGCCTGTTTCACCATTGCAATTAAGCACGAAAATCTTAGAACAAAATTTAAGTCTCCTTTGAGTCAAGATTAAATTAGTAATGGTGTAATTAAATGAAATATTGTATCTGTCATGGCGGTTATCCTAGTGAGCTCGTCTTGGCCAGGCAAAAATTTTAACCTGGTTAAAGAATGCAATCGACAAGAACTTCGTGGCAATAAGATATTTCGTTTATATATTTTTCAAATGGAAAATGCATTGAGAATGTTGGAATCGCTCATGGTCTGGATCTGCACCCCCCCCCCCCAAAAAAAAAAAATAATAATAATAATAAAAAAACGAACAAAAATGATCGAACACCGACCGACCCTAAAATTAAGCTTGTATGCCTGTTTAACATCACTTGTTAAAAGAATTTTTAAAAAACCTGGCTACCGACCCTATTTACAGAGATAACACACTTGTTCACCAGCTTATCTATGTTATTTGGTCCTAATCTGACGCTTGCAGAGGAATGAGACACCAAGCACGGTCGGCTTGTCTTCACTGTAAACAGACCGATTGTTTATAGTAACTTGGCACCAGCTCCACACGAGTCGATACGCATACATTTACAGTAATGGAGTCATTTCCATTAATAAAAAAATGAAGTACTTTCCATCGATTATGTCGTAACTTTGAAGCTGATTCAAAATGGCCTGTGTGTGCAAGAACTACAGGGTTGAGGATAAAACGTAGAATAAAGCCTCTCGACGACAAAATATTATTTGAATGGAAGCCAACGGTTATAGTTAAATGAGTGCTCTTTTTTAATGTCGCCGTTATGGAGAGATTGCGATATGTGGTGATATTCACTGGGTTATTGCTGATTATCGGCCAGGGTTTGTTAGTATTATTCCTCGAGCCACAGTCACCAAGGCGATATGGCGTGGAAAGACATGTTTTAAATGTGACAGCGAAACGGGATGAAAGCATTGTGACAGTGAACGACAGAACTGAAAATGCAAGCACTAAACCAAAGGTAACTTATCTAAATCGAAGTGCAAAAATCACGACGTGCTACCCGTGTTTTAAATCAATAGCCGAGCTCGTTAGTGTGTTTTGTATGATTAGATTCGCACACTTTAGAAAATAACTGTAGAGTTGAAGCCAGGGTGCTGAATTTATTTATTTATTATAATTATTTTTAAATATCGTAATTCGTAAAGCCGTTTTGAAAAATTATGTTACAATTTTGTATTACCATGGACTGCTTTGGTATAGACGGTGGGGTTTGAAAAAAGCTTTAAACACACACACACACACGCACACACACGCACACACACACTCACACACACGTCTTCAAATTTAAATTGCATGACTTGCGTTGCTCTATTTTTCATTATGATTGTTATCTTTTGGGGAAATGAAGTATTCGAATTTGTTTATCATTTCCCAAACCATAAATCATGCTTTATTTTGAAGTGTCTAATATTTTTTGTAATAATCGTGACTTAACACCCGCTTTTGAATTTCATTTGAATCATTGTCACAACTTTATTGCAGAATATCAATTGTCCGGAATATCCGCCAGATTTACGTGAGTACAAACTCAAGTTATTGGAATGACAATAACACAATTTATGTACAATTGCTATATTGAATTTTTCTGTACATATAATTATATATGCCAATCGAAAACGTCCTACATGTAGTTATGAGGACCTTGGCCGGTCAATGTGAATATTACATCGTCCAAGTGCTAAACGCAGTGTTGCAGTCAAAACAACAGTATGTACCGCGGTATATAAACCGGTAGAATGCTAATATTTTTTAAAACAATAATCGAAAAGTTAATTTAACTGTGTCTCCACGTACATATCAACCATGCTGTAAGTTTCGAAATCGTTTTCGTTCAGTTGGGCACCTAAAAATCAACATCAATAAATCGATCGACTTAGATGAACTACGAAAGAGAAACCAAGGGGTAAAAAAAGGTGGATTTTGGACGCCACACGATTGCCCTCCGAGATCTCGTGTGATCATCATCGTTCCGCACAGAAATAGGTGGAGCCACCTTATCCAGTGGCTTGCTCACTACCATCCTATCTTACAGAGACAGAAACTGGAATATAGAATCGTGGTTACAGAGCAGGTACTAGCACTTTGCTGTCAAACTTATATATTGGGTGATCCAAATAATATCACAGGTTTTTGCACTTAACAAATGCTAGTAGAAGCGCCAGTGGTCTATATCATTACCAGAGAGTAAAGTTAACTTGCAAACCTGGTTAAAATGGTTAAAATGATTCATGTGATATTTGAAAATATTTCTGATAAGGTCATGAGAACAAAAGTACATTTATTTAAAATTGCACTTTATTTGTAGGTACAAAGAAATCTTTTCAACAAAGGAAGACTCTACAACGCTGCATTTTTGGAGTGCGAAAGGGCATTTGATTTTGACTGCGTTATTTTCCATGACGTGGACATGCTTCTGGAGAATGACCACAACATGTACTGGTGCTATAATATGACGAGGCCGAGACACCTCTCCCCGGCTGTAGACAAATTTAGATACCAGTAGGTTTTTAAAAAGTAATCAAATATGATTAATGTATATGTAAGTATTAAGATTTACTTGTAAACCAACAGTTTCACGACAAATACCACAGTATTATTTTAACTGGTTCAATAGAAACTACTGTCCTTTCCAGGCTTCCCTACCACATTCTCGTAGGTGGCGTACTGGCCATGACAAGACACATGTTTAAGAGGGTCAACGGCTTCAGCAATCAATTTTGGGGCTGGGGCGGCGAGGATGACGACATGTGGGGAAGGTGAGTGACGATGTGACGTCACAACAATTCCCACCTGGCAACGGCTGATTTGGACACACCAGTTTTGTTGATGCCCTTTATTAAAGATGCATACAAAGTCAATTTTTTGTCACAAAAACCAACCAAATGCCAGCATATGGTTTCAAGTAGCATAACTAAGAGAATTACCAAAAGGCATTATTTAATTTTACCCGAAAATGATGTTTGAACGGATTTTTCTGCTGGCATTCTAAGCTGTATGTCAATGGGGTAGGAAAGTAAGTCACGAAAGTAGGTTAAATTTACAACCATAAATTTAAAGAAAGGAGCAGTCTAAAGGTCTTTTATGGCTGATTGAGTGATCTATTCAGTTTATTCCTTGGCATGTCGAATTTATTTGAGTCATATAAGAATCTAGTAGAAGTGGTTTACGTGTGTTACTGGGAATCCACGCTCCACCGATGCTCGGTTCGTATGTACCTTTAAGTCAATGTATTAGTAGCACATTTGTTTGAAATTTGAAAATTTTAATTTGCGGTGAATTTTGATGTTCTAACAAGACTTTATTCAATGGATAATTTTACATGGCAAATGAATAGCACAATGCAGCGCTGGCTATAAACCCCACTGCTGGACATCTTTTGTTGTGTGCTAGGACATAGCACCACTGGATATGGGATTTTACTGATTCGGAGGAATGGGGGGGGGGGGGGCACAAAAATGCCTGGCTTCTTTCTTTATAAGAAATTTTGAGTCTCATTTTTCAGTGCTTATTTTCTCCTTTTTTGGTAAAGGTTAGTGGCTGTTAACACCACAGTAGACCGCCCTCATCCAACTATTGGCAGATACACAATGATAAAACACAGGACCAGGAAGGGCGAGCGTAACTTCATGCTCACCTACAGGTACTATATAAATTTAGATACATATTAAAGTCACAGCTTTAAACCATTGTCAGATATGGGGACACTGCCCGTCCGACAGGTACTGGGTAATGACACCAAAATATAGTTCTCCTGGATATTTCAACACTAAGACCCCATTTCCGGAGATTAGATCGACCTACTTTAGATCGACCTAACTCCCTGGGGGTTCACGCTAAATAGCTGTCAGCCGGGCGGATACGAAAGTTAATTACCCCATTACAGCTTGAAGTAGGCGGGACATTTAAGACGGATTATCTGACAGTAATCTAGTGAGACTCCCCGCGGGGACAGATCGATCTAAAAGCTCTGGGAATACAGCCTAAGGCCTCATTCCCATTGGAACTATACAGAGATCGATCCAATTCCGCGGGGACTCTCGATGAATGCAATCAGATTAACAAATCTGACGACTTATATACCCGTTTTCGAATACTTCCATCCCCAGAAATGCACTGCATGACGTCACGCCTAGCCCACTGCGCATGCGTGCATTTTTAATGAGTTGCTAGATTGCCATAGGAAAATGAGTGGGTTCGCGATTCGTGGGTAATTCGTGAGAATTGACAAACTAACGGCCTAATGCCGATAGACAGCAACGCTGTGCTATGCTTCAATCAACTCCTGACCAAATATCGCTAGGGTTTTTAAAAAAATTCTGTTGTACACACGTACTAAGAAGTTTGCCGTATATTGCCTAGACTACCCACAGCAAAACGCAAATATTTTCAGTTATAGTGATTTTAGACGGTAGATTCACTCAGAAACAAAGGGAAATTAATTCGTTGCCGATAGCACCAGCTGATAGCAGTAACATACAGAGTCTGATTAAAAAAATTCATGGCAATTGAAGATTTTTTACCACTGTACAATGGAGTCCAAAAAGAGCACTTGGCACAAATGTAAAACTGCCCAGTGCAAGGCCAAGAATTCAATCAGTATTTTCAATCATATTATCAGATTCTACATAAATTGACTGACCATATCACTACTCAGTATTTAACTAATCT